CTCAAGATTTTTCGTCCAAGGAAAATCACGACTGCTCCAATTTTTGTCATTTGAACTCTCGGTATCAGTGACATCTATAATCTTGGGAACATATTGTTCCCTCTCTACAGGACCAGATGAAAGACCAGACCTATCTTCAGAAATTATACAGTCTCTTGGCATATTCCAGTTATCACTTACATATCTGCATTGTTCGGTTACATGAGCTCGAGAATCTGTTTGCGCATAATCCACCCTACCATTTTTTGTTTGAGGTGTTTCATACTGAATATTATGACTAGGTGTAGATGCCAAACACTGATATTTTTTCCTTTCTTTATCTTGGATAAGGATCTCGAGCTGCTGAATTTGCTTTATCAACAGTAACCTAGCAACAATACAAGTGTCGAACGCTTAGAAACTACCTCAGAACTCAAGGCATACTTTCAGTTCTGATGCAATGAGCGAAATGAAAATCAAAAAGTAGACATATTATCAGGTGTTTCTTTAGGCCTCATTTCTTCTTGTTGTATAATTTCCTAATAAGTTTTCTGTGTAATGAATGTATCACACAGCTTCTAAAGAAGCTAAATTGTATTCCCAAATAGAACATAAAGCAAAGAAAAGGGCAATTTTATTGATGAGAATGCGAACCTCTCTTGACAAAGCTGTTCAAAATGATCAGGCCACAGGCCAGTAGAATCATCAAAGAGTTCATTTGATATTGCAAGCAGCGCATCCTTGATTTGTTGCACATGGGTGGAAGCTTCAGGACAAAGCCCTAGCTGGGAATATTAAAGCAAACAAAATGAGAAAACCAATTAGGTTATGGAATAACCATGGAGAAAATGAGAGAAATTGTAGCCATACCTTAATTCCATGACTACAGTTGGAACATAACTCAGAAGGCAAAGAGGGCTCTTCTTCTCTTCTGGATGCATATAAATCCACAGATGGAGCTACAGGTTGAAACTTAGATACTGGTGGTTGGCGAATACACCTTGAATTGTAGTGTTCCATCACAATTTGGTCTACGTCAATATTCTGCGCTCCAAAGTTAGCACATGTTAGAGTTAATCTATTTCTTTATTCTGGACAAGTAACTATGAAAAGATTTCCTTCTAGATCCACAGAAAATGGTGCAAGCTCCAAAGTTAGCTGCTAAATTTGTAATAAATCTGGTACAGTTTACTAGTTGTATGGAGAACATTACCTTGAGTATG